TGATTAAAAAGGTAAATGAAAGACTTTGGGAAGATATACAAAACTTGCATTAATGCGAAACACTTCCATTCTCATCTTCTGTTCAGATATAATTACCTTTTTGTGTCTTCTGTTACTACTGTGTAATCAAAGTCCTGGGAGGAAGAACAGGGGAAGGAGATGAGGGAACAAGAGGAGGTTACCAGATTTTTCTTATCAGTCTCAGTCTGTTCTACTGCTTTCATAACTGGAATTTAAAGTAGGGTAATACATCTTTATTAACTGAATAACTTGAAATAATTTGAAAGTGCGAATAGCAGATGAAACTGAGAAATTACATGATTAGGTGCTTTCCCTAAAGTTTGTGGTGCACAGTTGCGATTGTTTTGATAATCTTGTTGAGTGTCATTTCAATAAAACAGGTTTATTTATGGCCTTCTGAAATTTACACATACTTTAATATCAATTGAACCGGTACTGGAGGCTTTTTTTTTTTTTCCTACAAGCGGAAGCATCTCCGGCTTTGTGCAGATTAATTTGATCAGATCTGTGAAGGAGGTATTTGTTGGCTTCATGATACCAAAATTTGCAAAGTGTGTGTAACTTCTTTCCTTCATGTAAATGAAATAGAAGGAGTTTCTACTGCCTAAAGTGAGGTTAATAATCTCTTACAATTAGGTAGCAAAGTAATAGTTCATGTGAAGACATGAAAGTCATGGAAGCCTTTAGCTGTGGTTTTTCTGTTTCAGAATGTAGATCTGTGGCTGTAATCTCAAAGTTAAGTTTCTGAACAGCGTTGTGAATAAGGGCAGATTATGAAAACAGAAGTTATTCGAAGTACTTGGTATCTCAGTTTCTTAGGGAAGAAAGACACATTGTGTCTTTCCTGCTAGGGTATAAAACATGGGAGGTAAGTAACTAAGATATCTGCAGCAGAGTAAGGCAGGTGCAATTGAAGGAGAACAGACTATAGAAGTAGAGGAAGCTCAGCTTTCTTTTTCTGTGTTTTATAGGGCAGTTTACTTCTGCTGGAGTTTTTGCTGATCTTTGTGGATTCTGGAGGTTGTAAAATGCGATATGAATTTAAGGTGATGAATATAAACCACACAGGTGCTAGGCTTTTTACTTAGCAGTCATGCAGGGTTTTGCACTGTTCTAGCTGAAGTCAATTCTAAGATACGTGCACCCGTTTTGCTCAGTGTTTGTTTATGCAGTACTTTACAGTGCTAGTGTGCATGCTTGGGCATCATTGGGGGCTGTCTGTGCTTAGTAACTTTATGGTTCTGTGCTATAAAACAAACGCAGGATTTTAGGCACTGTATCTTTTTTTTTTTTTGCTATAGACTTATTAAAAATGAGTCAGCTCTTACAGAAGGGTAGCAAAAGCAAGTGTGTGGAAACAATGGGGTCTCAGTGTCGACTCAGGAAGAGTCAAGTAAGTTCAGACTGAGAAATGAGTTTCTGATATGCTAGGAAGTAAGTTAGTGGCTCAGGAAAACATGTTGCTTATGATGCTGTTGTACTTAACCTATTTCTCTTATGTATTGTGAGATTTTTACCTTCCCCATCCCCTTCAAACTTCTGAGACTTTGTGTTCTCTCTTGTTCACATGTGAAAGTAGTTTCAAAGCATGCCTCCAGCTGTTCAGGGTATGGTGGAGACACAAAAAACTTAGAATACTTGAGAAGACATCCAATTTACTCCAATAAACTGGTTTTAGATTATTTTTATTTTTAGAAGTTTCTTAAAAGCAATCAGTTTTTTTCACAGTTGTTTCTCAGTAATGTGTTTTTCTGCAACTTGTAAAAGTGTCCTCTTTCTGTGTTGAAATGACAAAACCAATATGCAGCTTATTAACTGGTTGATTTAAGGCTTCAGCAGAAGGTAGTTTGAGGATGCCAACATATTTTGTGTTCTATTTATTAGTTCTGTGTGCTGTGCGTTGTTAGTTCATTTTAGCTTGATAGCAAAATATGTTTTCTTTTGTAGAGTGAAGATACGCAGCAACAAATTATCAGAGAAACTTTCCATTTGGTATCGAAACGTGATGAAAATGTCTGTAATTTCCTGGAAGGAGGATTGTAAGCATCAAATTTCACATAAATGCCTAATACTATTTCCTAGCAAATATTATTACAGCTGATTCTAATATAGCTGTTTTTACAGTTGTAATGTAAACACCATGTAACGTGATGTATTTTAAAGCAAAAAGAGTAATACCATGTTGCATCAGGTATACATATTCTTTACTGACTGAAGCATGCATCTATGTATATATATCTCTATCAAAAGTTAGGCAATAAAACTGATTTTTTTTCCAGTACTGTAACTGAGAGTGGTGCCATATCTAGTGCTCTAGGTGTTTCAGACACAAGATGGGGAAGAAACAGGCAGATGATACCTAGCCAGATCCCCTGTAATGAAGCTTAATATTTCAGGCTTTGTTTGAAAATTTGACATTTGCCATACCCATTGGGGAAATTAAAGTATTTTGTAGCTTGTGTTTTGTCTTGAGCTCCTAAAGTTTGAGTGGACACCCTCTGATGGTAGGGTTCCTCAGCCTTTTTATCGAGGTTCAGCCTTGCTATATAAACTAGGAAGAAAGGTTTAATATATATTAACACTTTTTCAACCAAGATTTTTTATTAGTCTAGGTTGAGTAAGGTAGGAGGAAAGCCAGACTTAAGTTGTCTCTCTCTAGAAAAGACACCAAAAAAATACTCTTCTTGTTCTGTTCTTTTTTTTTTAATGTGGTCTTGATTTAGTTGAAGGGAAGAATTTCTGAAATGGAGAAGTGTTTTGTTTTGAGGTACTAGGCATCAAGAGTAAGTAGTTACAAAGCTACCTTCTAGGAAAAAAGGATCGTAATTGATAGAGTAAGCTCATGATATGTAGTCTAAACTTAGAGATTATCATAGTCTGTTAAATATTGTAGTTGTGGAAGTTTCTGATTATAGAAAGTTAGTGTGTTAATGCCTAAATTGTCTATGTGCAGAAGCAGTTAAATTCTTAGCTGTATCCTGATTTAGATTATTCCTGATTTTATCATTTTATTGATTTTAAAACTAAATTCCAACTATTAGCTGGTGATTTTATTGTTAGGTTGTGGGAATTGGTTTCAAGCTGGGAACATGCTGGCTTGAATTCTGTACGTGAAAGACAGAAGCTGCTTGGAGCCTTTAAAAAAATTGCAGCTGTTTGACAAAGAGAAGTTAAGACAAAGCACAATTCCTCCCGCTGCTCAGTTCCAGAGTTGTTTCAATTTGTTTGTTTGGTTGTTGTTGTTCTTTTTCTTTTTGGGGCCACAGATCACTTTTAGTTTGCAGTGTACCCAAAGACCTTAACAGTTTTTGTATACTAACTCCATGTACTGAAGTATTTGAAAGAATTGGGTAAATAAAGCACAAAAAAAGAAGCCAGTTGTCTTTTCTTACCACTTTCAAATTTGTTTGTAGTATTTTTGTCTGATACTTCTTAAATATAGTTTCTTCTCTTTGGGAGCAAAGTATTCTCTCTCTTACCATCCAAGCATTAATGCAAAGCACTATTTGAGCAAGTTACCTAAAAGTTGCCTTGTTCTTTTTGTTTATTTACATTTTCTCCTTATGATAAAGGCAGAAACTAAAGGGATGAGTTATGATACACCAAACAAATGATTCAATTCTGGTACAGAATTAATAGTGATTTATGATGTTCATAGCCGTGTAGGTGCAGGCTACAAAACATTTTAATTTCTAGTTGGGCAGGCATCCTACTGCTCAAAGAAAGTGTGAATGATCTGAAGAACATCTCTTCTTGTGATTTATTTACCTTCTTTGGGAAGGCTATAGTAGGAGAGGAGAAGAGAATACCTGTTTAGACCTTTGTTTTCTTTTTGAGTAACTTGGTGATTAGGGAATCCATGAAAATTTAGTTTCTTCTGTAGTGTTAACATTGCATCGTAAACTACTATTTTTGTATACAGTCTTATTTCTCAACATATCAAACATTTCGTAGCACAAGAGCATTACATGTTCTTGGTTTTTCAGTGGACCATAAACCCTATTTAAGGCTTTTTCTGTAATCCAAATGCCAGTCTGCATTGTAGTTTTCTTCTTCTGCTGATGCTCCTCCGAGAAGGACAGGGAAGGATTCATAGACATACACTCTGTTAATCTTTAAAGAAGATTAATCCCTGTACAGTGCCCACGAGTGTGTAATGGAAGTGCATTTAATACCCGCTTTTTTATGAGACTGCATGATCTATTTGAATTGATTTTAATGAAGAGGTGCATATGTTGATGACAAACATATGGATAACAATAACTGCACTTGAGTGGTAAATGTATCTTGGATTGCCTTGGTACTTAGTATTCTTACACTGTAATTATATTGCAAAATAAAAGTTGTGATATAGTTGGGTTAGTGTAAGCTCCAGCCATTAACAATAGGCCTCCTGTTAATAAAATAACTGTGAGGATTTGCCCTGCTAATCCTGAGATGCTAGCTAAGATTTCCTGTTTTCTTTCCTGTTTAGATTAATAGGTGGATCTGATAACAAGCTAATTTACCGACATTATGCCACCTTGTATTTTGTCTTCTGTGTGGATTCTTCAGAAAGCGAGCTTGGCATTTTAGACCTCATACAAGTAAGTATGGGGTTTTCTCTGCTTTGTTTTTTTTAATAAATGGAATTCTATTTCTAAGATACTTAGAACTTAAATGTTTAACTATCTCTTTTTCTTTAATATTATGAAACGAAGGTGGCTTTCTTACTATGAACATGCTCAAAGTGTTGAGTTTTACTTTTAGATTATTGGCAGTTTTAGGGACTGTTTTTCAAAAAGTTGTTTCTTACGTTGATGGAAAAGTAAGGAAACAGTCTGAAAACTCATGGATAATCAGCAGCTATTTTTTTGCTGCAGCTTTTTAAGGCCTTGTTTTGACTGCGGATAAAAATGGTGCAGCTCAAACATTTGCAGACAAGTTTAGTTTACGAGAACTTTGATACATAAAGCTCTGTCTGTATATGTATATACATACACAGACACACACAAATATATATCTGTGTGTTCACTAAGAATATATAATGGATTAATACATCCAAAACCTCACCGGATGAAACTTTACTTGTGGTTTGTGAGCTTTTGGTCAGATAATCCTTAGCAGATGAGTGCAGCTGCTGACTTAGGCATGTTTCTGCGCTGGGGCTGGGCATGGGGAAGAGATGAGGAGAAAGAGAGCTTATTCTTTCTGGATTTCAGTAAGAAAAACTCAACAATGAAACAGCTTAGTAAGATAACTTTAATAAACAGAATAAAAGGAGAAATGTGCATAGTAAATCTTACACCGCTTTGGATGCTGGGCATCCCATGTTCATGCAGTATCCAGTGGAGCCCAGGTGGATTTTCCCATGGTGTGCTGTGCAGAGATGATCCTGTCCCTGGAGAGAAGTTTTTGCGTCTTTGGGCCTTTGAGCTATTACACAGATTTCCCCACAAGAAAACAACTCTATTCCTAAAAGGACATTCTCATGAGAACTTCCTGCAGCACTTTGAGGTTCAGGCAAGGCCGTGCGAGTGGCATAATCACGGGTCCCAAGTGGGAGCTGCCTGCAGTCTCCTCTGCTGCTGCATGCTGGCTGAGTTTATACTACAGCCAAGGAATTTATGCAACTGTTACATATGGCTGTATTGAAGCAGCAACAAAAATGTTTTTAATATAACTAGTAATGTGAACACTCTTATGTCAAGAGAAATGTTATTACCTCAGCGGTTTTTCAACTTTGCACATAAACAATTTCACTAATAATTGTTAGTGTAGTCAGATATGGCAGAAATAGTTCCATGCCATGAGGTGATGTATGCCATTACGTAAAATAGGTCTTGGATATATACAGTTGCAAGAAAAAGTATGTGAACCTTTTGAAATTTCATGGTGTTCTGCATTAAGATGTGATCTAACAGTCATCTAAATCAAGAGTATTAACAAATATAATGTACCTAAAATAAAAACATAAAAACAATTCGGATCTTGCATGTCTTTATGGAATACTCTCATTCAGCATTCAAAATGATAGTGGAAAAAATAGCCCTTGAGTTTACCTCAAAAAGCTAATCAGAGTCAGGTGTTGGCATACCTGGAGCCTTGTTAAGAAAATTAATTTGGAGGTGTGGACTACAGCTATGCTGACTGATAAAGAACACTCAAATTTTTGAGTTTTCACTGCACAAGATGTATGCTTATATGAGCCACGCCTTGGCAAAAAGAGATCACATTTTATGACAAGTAATGCAGAACACCATGAAATTCAAAAAAGGTCACATATTTTTTTTCTTGTAACTGTATGTGCATGATTCGCTTACCATTAAGCCTTTTAAAAGCTTTCACATCAAGTGAAATGGTTTATCACATAAGTAAAACATGGGGTATCCTGAGACATGGGCTTGTGTCTGATTATTTCACCTCAGCACTGTGAGCCTTAGGCCTCATAATTCTCTTCAGACCTCTCTTGGAACTTAATAGTGTCTGACAGTCACGTGTTAATGCTGTGTACAGCTCTTCAGTGTGTTCTTCTGGACTGTAGAGCCAAATTATTTTTCCAAGTGGCTGTGTGAACAAATCAGAGAGGAATAGTGAGAAGTAA